ATGCTCCGACGGAGGGGCTGTAGCCCCCCTAGCCCTTCCCCTGGCGCCACCACGGGTTGTTAGGGATGCTTACCTTTATTCTACCATTTAGAAAATAGAAGGAAATAAGTTATCTTCTTTTTTGTACTGACTGGGTCATTGCCAAGTCAAGGCTTTCAGAATAGTCAACATTAATTGTTTTGAATGTAAGTATTAAACCAGTAGTATGCCATAGGTTAATATATAGTGTGGATTTGCTCTCTTAGGATGAGGTAACTGTTTGGTGCGCAATGCTAAGGATTTACAGTCTTTAATAAAATCTTCAAAAAACAAATTTGATGATTGTCCAACTAGTTATAAGAAACAATAATAATTATGATTAATATTTACAGTAAACATATATCTCTTTCTTCTTTCTTCTCTTTTCCCTTTTTTTGTGACTGGCTTATTTACAGCAGCGGCACCTTTTGCTTGCCTTGATTTTAACTTTGGAATTCATTTCACAAAGAGTAATCATTAATGACTCTCTCTGAAAAAGAAAGTTCTGTGATTCAAATAGAAACAAATATCATTCGGTTATGATGCAAATATCTAAAACATACAGGAAAGGTTAAAAGTCTTAATGGGGTTTAAGCAGATTCCTTTTTTGTGGGAAAAACTGGCAGGGAAAAAAGCTGCCTTGAATAACTATACTATTTGCAAAGAAAAGCTCTGCTATATATTCGGGTTTGATGATAGGGACAACATTCAAGGAACACATAGGAACAAGCTTTGCTTCAAAATTTGTCAAAGCATTAAAACATTTGTCTAGCATTGCTCCATACCACAGCATTCATTGTGTTACAGTTTGTTACAGCTACCACAAACTCAAAACAACAATAACAAAAATTCAAAAAAACTGATCTTACGAGGTAACAATATATAGAAAAAGAAACAGCAAAAAAATAAAATGAGCCCTTCAAATGAGGCTACGTCACGTGAGGATAATTTGTGGCCGTAAAGAGATAACGTCGCCCATCGAGAAGATTCTGTCCATCCCCAGTCTAGAACCTCATTATATTCGTTCTTCTGCCTTACATAGAGCATCTGGCCACTATCTCTTGGATATTGCTTGCGTACAAATGAGTTTTCTAGTTCATTTTCTAATTTCTCACAGAAACAAGAATTTCGAGATTACTGTTATTGAGACTAGGAATTAGTATCCTGAGACATATGGTATGGGTTGGAAGAGCGCGATTGCCCCTTCTCTTCGTCTGAATTTGTAAATTGGCCCTGAATGAAAAATGTTGGGAACTAATTACCAAGCCTACTTAGATGTGGAGCCGTGAACACATATGGAGCAATGCTCCCTGAGCCTGAAAGCAAAAAAGGAATCCTCCTGGCAATAAAAACTGTACCTTTCTCAAAAATATGGTTCTCTGAATAACATTGGTAATTAACACCATATGCTGACTGGTGACTTCAAATGCGAATTTTATAGAATATAAATAAAGTAAACTAAAGAAGCTAGGAATTGCTATTCAGTTTAAATCCTATACTTTAAACAATTTTGGGCATTGCTTTGGGTAGGCAAGTATTTTTGGGCAAAGCATCTGTCGCGCCTGCCTCCTGGGCTCCTAATATGTTTGCTCTCAACGGTGGTCCTGCAAATAGCCCACTAAACAACCCAAGGAGCAAGGTACAGACAGTCCAAAATGGGTGATATGGCATCATCAAAACTACTGTAAGTTTGTTCATCACTATATATCTATTGCAAACCACAGAACTTTGTTTAAGATTAAATATCCTTCTGTCAATAAAATTCAATTATGACCTTGCTTTCCAACTATCATTACGCCTAGGTTTGTAAACTGCCCTCCTACATAGTACTATTCTTTGCTATCGGAAACTCTCTTTCGCTGCTCCAATATTCCCATTTGTTGTACAGCTACCTCCATGAGCACCTACATCTCTTCTGGCCCAACATTTGTTCTCTCCTCCCGGTATGGAGCACATTGCATCTTGAAACATTCTCTGTCACTAACCATGTTTCTATAACAGTGCTTCTGACTTTGAATAACTCACATGATTAAATTATCAAATATCTTGTGGGATACGTCGCAGCCTACAACAAGTATGCTTTATGATCTAAGATATAAACCCCAATTCTTCTTAACGCAACTGTGCCTCTAATATGTGCCTATTATAATTGAAGATTGACGGCTCGGGCTATACGGACCGTGCCCTAATGATTAACGTATTTCACCCACAACTTAACTCTCTCTATCACGATATTGTTTGTGGTCATGATGTATATAGCCTAGAACGTCCTCTGCCGGCTCAATTTAAGGTTATCATACCACTCTCTGTAACGCCAATAGCAAAAAACACGATCTCATGTTCCACGAGCAATACCAGATGATATTAGTGTTAGATGCTTGTGCTGTACCTCTCGTCGAGACATCTAGCATATCTCAACCGCATCAATGATGAAACCGCGGGCTTAACGTCCATTTTTTAGTGTGTCTCTCTCAACTATAGAGCAAAACCTCCTAAGGTTTATACCGCGTAGCTCGCGTAACTATCTTCGATTACCCTTTCTTTCACATACGGTATATGCTGTCTAGAAACTGCAGTCACATATCAAACATTAAGAATTGTTATCGCAACCCAACCAGTGATCCTTGACCAAATCGCAAAGATTCCCCTGATTCCACACCTAGAGTAGTACGCTGAATCCGTGGTTTATATAGCGATATATTGTCCATTCTCGTTGTAGAATATCCCTGTCTTACCTACTAAAGTAAAATTATATGACTTGTATTCATGTGTAAGATACAATACTACTTTGACTTTGGCATTTTTCTGCCATCTGATTTATAGTTTTTCGACTGTTCAAAAAGTTGGGTACCACAACAGATCCACCTAAAAAGAAATTCTTAGATTGTTAGGAGGAAAATGTTACAGTTCAAATTGATGGTTAACACCTCTGCACCCGAATATCATACTGAATTCTGCTCATCCTGCGCTTAAAAGCGTCACCAGCCGCTAGATCCTCTGCGGCTCTGTACACTATTCCTCCAAGGACTATACATATACACAGTCCTCCTCTAACTTGTCGACTCTCAAGTAGACTTGCATTGAAAGAGCGTCGGGTACTCTTGTGTTAGACCATTTTATAAACGCAACATGACGAAAATCAAACACCTAGTGTCGTGTAGCAAGGTTTAAATGACCGCTTTTGCACGCTAATAAACTGTTTACGGAATCATATTATATAACTGATTATGTGTTGGTCAAAGTATGTTGTTTTTCTGTTGATCAAATATATTTTAAATTATCAGAAGTCTATGAGTGGTTGTTTCTAAACAAAAGTAGTTATACATTTTCAAAGGAACCTGAGCATTGATTTTCAAAAAACAAGGGTTAATCTGCACAAGATGGCTCTGAAACAATTCTAAAAGGTCATCAATTGCAAAAAACTTCGGCATCTTTTCCCGAATGTACCCTTTTCGGGGGCCTCTACCACTATTGAGGTGCTTGTGAGGATATCAATATTAAGTTGATGATGTTTGTTAAAGCAATTTACTGGTTTTTGAATTCCATTGGAAACTCTATGTCAAACAAGCTTTAAATGCAAAACTTAATCCAGAGAAATTTTGACTCTGGGTGTTGCATAATCATTACATTACTTATCTTTTTTTAAATTCAAAATTTTTTTTGACTCAACTTGTGAACAACAATACTGTATGTTTACTACGAATGGACTAAACCAACTTATCGCCGTGGCCTGATCTCGACGCATTTGTCCCTCATTAACTGTACAATATCTTGCTGGCAAGTAATGTTACACATGCGAACATATCATTTCCACAAAGATGACTGTTTATAGATCAGATTTAGATAAAGGACTGCTGAACAAGATAAGGCCTGCATCTAACTCTTACATTGGAGGCTACTAATAATCTAGTGTGCTCCTCTGTGAGGTTTACTCTGTCTCAATCCCTTTCTTACAGGACTTTCAGAAGATCAATCGAAGGTAGGGCTGTTTTTGTCTTTGGCCTTTTTCTCCCTTTGCGAAAAGGAAGCCACTTAGCCTTTGTCGATCTTGGCCTTTGCCCCTTTTCCTCACTCTTCAAAGAATAGCAAAAATTTACTTGTGTCTCCTGACTGTAGCACGCCTCTCGTGCCTCGACTTAGCATGGTTAATTTCTTGCGTCCGCTTATGTTGCACAGATTCATTAGACAGCTTTGTGTGATTGGGATTGAAAAGCAACTAGCACCTTTATTACAGAATACTATGGACACAAGAGACACTTATCAATGCACTTAGAAAAACAATTAGTTGTATCTTGAAAAGGTTTAAAAACCATTTCAAACCGTTTCGTAGTTGAGGAAATCAATTAGATTTAGATTTTAGATATCTTTTGATTGTCCTTTATAAACCCTTACGTAATACCAAAATTTGCCTATAAGTGATATAGGACAATAATAGGGGAATCCGTAAATGCACTCACAGACTACTCATACCATCTCCAATCATCTTATTATTATGTGAGTTGACCTCACAAATCATATCCCATTCTACACTCATTTTTAATGCTGCTGTGAATGCACTCGCAAACACACACATTCAATCCAGCCCACTGTATACACTCTTCTCAATATATTAATACGTAACCACCCTTTTTTCATAACTGATGCATACCACTCTACTCGATTATAATTTGCTCCGTTACCCTCTCTTCCCAGTGGGCCGCAAATGTGATGTGCGGAACACTTTACGTCTTACTCGGTTTTGTTGTGGATACCTCTCAAAGGATCTCCCGCTGACGCACTGTGCTCGTGTAATCACGATTAGCCTAGCTGTGATTTTACAACCTGGGGTGTCACGCCTCTGCTGATCCCTCCCACTATAATAGGTAAGAATATTCCGAATGCCTATGACCGCCGAAGGTCAACCGTCGCTGCCTAGTGTGCCTCTTGACTTCCACTAGGTAACCTCGGACAATATTACAGTGCATTACTGCCTACTACGAGCGTACCTCCTCAGGCCACTGAGGCGCGGACCGTCCTCACAATATACCACCATCAATTCATTTAAATTTGTACAAAAAACCTGCATCATCTGTTCGCCCCAGGCGATTGTACATAAAAGACTCAACGACGAAATGATTTGTTGACGACGTATTAACTCCTCCACTCTCGATATCATTAATATCCCCAAAAAGTTAGCCTGTATTATGAAATAACCAACAGGTCGGGCGTGGATCGGAAATTGCTCCAGTCGGCCCCAAACGCTATGGGGAAAGTTTCTTTGTGATTGGCTCCTTCACTCGTCATTGAGGAAAAGGCATTGGCCTCACTTAGGAATTGCCCGCTCAGCTCACCAGACATACCACTGTCTAAAAAATAAACTCGCACCTCTCCTCCGCTCTTGAGCTTCTATCTATTTCTCTCCCAAACTTTAAGGCTTGATAAAACTATGAAATCGAACACCATCTTTTATCAAATTATTGTCCCTTCGTTTAGTCTCTGCTTAAAAATAAACTTATGCCTCACCTTTATTTTACCATATGATATAAAACTGTACTTTATCTTAGCTTCCCTTTGCTAAAATGTTAGGCCACTAAAATTGTTCCATTTTTGTTCTGACTTGGCTGTTCTGACTGGCCCCATTTTCCCAGTTCAAAGTACCATAATTGATTTCTTTAAGTGCAATTTTGTTATGGTATCACTGTGTAAGTTATCTTTTAAAATATAACTTGCATGTTTTTATATTTCTTAATTTTTGGACATTTTTAAACACCCATATATAACTGAAGCAAACGTCAGGAAAATCTGAAAATGAAAATTTTTGTTTTTCTATGGTCATGTACGATTTCCAAAATTAAGCAAATATTGCTTCTTGAAATTGAGTGTTTACCATCGAACTAATTAAATCGGTGAGATCCAAGAATGACTTGGAGCTACGTTACATCTTGAAATTCCACCCTGGGCATCGATAGGCAAAATAACGCCCTTGGCCTTTGCCTTGGGTTTTCCGCGCTGTGATGCTACCCGACCCCCCTCTGGCTAGGCCTAGAATTTGTTACCGCGGCCTATGTTCTGATCAAGATTTAGAATACGACTAGCCGTCAAGAATACTGCTTTTCTCCAACCTATCGTTATTACTCAATTAACCTAAATGAATGCAAGAACTAGGGGTAGACAATTACTGAAGGGTACTTCACCTGGCTTTCCATTACTCGTGGGTCTGTTGTCAAATTGCACCGAGGCCATTTGTTGATTGCTGGTAGATGACAAACGAGACTTCTATCTAAATGGGATCACCTTCTGTAGTTGCGCACCTCGCCCTCGCGCTCAAACTCCCATTGCCTCGAACTCAAAACATTCCTTTCTTGACCAACACAATTTTGCAAGAAAGGCATTGACTTCTCTAAACACGCATCCTCCGTTTAGCACTTTGCTACTAATGCAATCCATGCGGGCCAACGATCCGAGAACAATGGAACTCACGTGCGTTAATTCCGCCGATTTCAATGGCGACTACATTCAAGCCAAGAGCAAATCCCAGCAGACACATGTACGTATTTCTTTGTTTCGGCGAATGAAAGGTGGAACTCGAGGGTATTCACGAATGACTTTGTGAAACAATTTAGGGGCTATTGCAGTGGTTGCACAGTTGATTCATAGCCTCTACGGCTTTTGGTTGGATTGAAAGCTCGCTTGTCAAATTTCGACCCTGCTCTTTGTATCATAGTGGTTCTACGACAGGTGTCCCGAGCCCGTACAATTCCCCCGCGTACCAATCGTAGGTTGTATGGATGCAGATTACGTATTCCTACTATCTATAGTACTTATAATTGTCTGTTTTATGCCAAAAGTACTTTTAAACGAACAAAACCGGGCAACAGACGACCTTTACGCTACGGACACGTGCACCGGCTTTTTTTCCCAATGCAGTATTTGTGACGAATTGTTCAAATCATACCAAAAATCAAATCCAAACACTTTTCTTTCTAGCATCAAAATCAGATTTATTTACAAGGATACGTCATTCTGTAGTGTTAAGATTTAACAACTCCTCCATTACCACAATACACTTAAAGATTACATTACAAGAACTAACATAATATATTTTAAGATCAGCTGGATGTTTACACTTAGAAAAAAACTTCCACGAAGGAGCTATCTAGCCCCCCCCCCCCCCCCATCGGAGGAAATTTTAGGTTATTGTCGGAGCAAATTTGACAAAATAACTGCTTATTTTAGTCATTTTAGCCCTCCTGTGGGAAGCCCCTCTGTCGGAAGATTTCTGGCGCCACCTCTGCCTACATCCAAGAACCAGTTAACAAAATTATTGAGGCAGTTGGTCCAAAAAAGAAATAACTAAATGGGGCATAATTCTTTTTTCTTATATGCATCATTCAGGAGAGTTCTTTATTACACCAGTGCTGGCTAGATATTGACTTAATTGCTCTTCTTAACATTTTTAAAAAAAACCACTGTTTTGCTCATTAACCATTCAGAATTCATTGGTTAAGTCTACAGTTGCACCACATATATTAGATTATCCAACTCAGTATCAGAATTGTTGCAATTCCCAAAAGTCAGAATTATCACAAGTCCCAAAAGTAAGAATTGTCACAAGTCCCAGAAATCATAATTATTAGATCTCACAAAAAATCTGAATTATATAAATGGGACAATGGGGCTTTTGTACCTCTGCTTGCCACAAGTTGCGAAGCATTCGGCATTATACAACGCTGCGCAGCATGCGATCGTTTGATCTGGTTGAGGGAGGTTCAATCGAGGAGGAAAGGAGAGGGTTTCGTTTGACTCCGAGCTTGTCCTCTCCGTCGTTGAGAGAAGGCAGTCCGCATTGCAGTTGAAAAAATTAGATTCTCCTTTGTTTTCTCAAAGAATTGGTTTAAAAAGGTTTTATGGCCTCACGTGCTGGTGAAGAAAGGGGCCTAGACCCGTTCTTTGAAGATAAAATGGGCAACAAATGCAGATTATGCGGCAAAAGATTTATGACAACATTCTGTCGAAGGCTTCATAGCCATGTGCACAAAGCTAACGGCTTGAAATGTGAAAAGTCAATGAAACGCTGCTCGATTTGCAACAAAAGTTTTGAGAAAGAAGCTGTTTATAAGTTTCACAAGCTACAGTTTCACCAGAAGAAACGAGGACAGGATGATGAATTTGCCACAACCACAGTCTTTCCATCATGGTTTATTTCGAACGGGCCTATGGCGGATGATGGAAAGATAAAAAACAAAACATTGAAAAGACGAACAGGTCTATCTCAGGAGATGATGGGTAAATCTTTTATATTTAGAGTTTCGAATATTGACTATCATCGTCAATTTCTAGTCTACACAGCAACCTGCGGAAAAGGTGACATCTACCGTATTTCCACGATTAAACGTCCCAGGGCTTTTATTAATTTCCGCCCTTTTGGGGGTGCCTATTCGAGTGAGGCGCCTATTAGAGAAGGGTGGTTAATTGCAACCTTCAAAAAATCAACAAAAAACAAACTTTTCCAGAATAGAATACTTTTTAATGCCAAAATGGCAATTGCAATATATGTACCAAGAGCTTCATAGAGGGTCGCTCTATGTCAAACAAGTCGTCATTTTTGGCATCCTCTTCTAATAAGATCACGTCTCGTGTTTGCTTCTTCTATGCCAGTGTCTGTTACATTTTGAAATAGATCTTCACATTGAGCATCCATAACTGCAGACGTAACTTTAAGCAAGATAAAAGAATTCATTCCATCTTTATTTGATCTTGCTTTTAGTTTTCTGCTCTGTCACTGCATAGCTAATCATCCAGTACAACAGTATTTTCTGGTCTGCAGAGCCATCAAATGGAAGGCTCAACCTGAATCTTGAAATTAAGAACATGTTTATGAAATTCAATAGCTGCTAACATTAGAGTCTGTTTTAAATATTAAATAGACACTCTACAAGAACCACTTGTTTGATGTTTTATGGTTAGCTTCACTAGACTTTGAGAATAATTAGCGTATGTGCATTGTGCGTAGAAGAGATATTTTTAGAAATCAATTGTTGAGTATCATTCTCAAGAACCAACTGTAATAAGTATATAATATATAGATATTAGATATATATAGACTTTCAGAAATAAATTTCTGGTTAGTGTAGCTTAACATATCAGATGGAGCTAACATATGAAAGTTCAATGAAATAGAGTGGCTAAAGGAAATTGCCTATTTTAACAACCATTCTTAATGGCTTAACTTTAGGAAGTGGCTAACAAGAAAGCACAGAAGATAAAGGTGCTAGAGTCAGCAGCTTTCACAATTTTTCTAAGTTTTAAACTTTTTCTAATTTTTCAACAGTAGAGAAACCAAATTAGAAATACATTAGTGATATTGAATAAAGCATGTGCATGTAAAGAGGGAAAATATGGAGAATTAAACATGAAACATTATAATGCAAATAAAATGAAAATGAAGTGAATTGAATCTATCTATCCAAATGTCTAATGTTCAAGCCTTTAGGAGTGAAACTTTCCAACTTAGATTTGAATTATTTTGGGGGCAGGAAATCAAAAATCTTGTTTGAAAGGTCATGAGGATTTTAAAGGTCTATTTTGGTTTACAGACTAAATACCATGCTTTGAAATTAATTGTTGTCTTGCATTGTAAATTTAATTTAAAAAAGGAAATTTGTCCAAAAAAGTATATGAGAGCCATGCCCTTTTAGGAAGCTTCAAAAGTTTTGTTTAGGATCCATCACTGAACTTATTCCAGAGTATGTTGCATGATTTTCATTTTGCTTGATAGATTGATGCAACTTGCAGCCTGCCCTCCAGTGTAAAATTGTGCTATTTTCTTCATTTTGCTGTGGTTGGTCTTTGCCTTTTTAGCTTTTAACTCCAACTCCAGAATAATATACAGCAGCAGGCGATAGTTTTTTGGGCTTGGTGTATCTTAAAGGAAGTAAAACATTTATTTTTTTAGTAATGAACAGTACCAATGATGTTTTGTAAGAAAATCTATTTTCTTCATTTTGCAGGAAACAAAATGAAATGTCAATACTGCCACCGATTGTTTGCTTCACAAGAATTTTTTTCTTCTCACAAGAAATATTGCAGACATAAATTGAAATTCAGATGGAATTGTAACGTGTGTGGTAAACCTTTTGCATCTAAACGGTATCTTATTGGGCATCAGCGACTGCATCAAGGGGAATCAAAATACCGCTGCAATGAATGTGGCAAGTTTTTTGCCAGTGCATCAAATTTGTGCAGGCATTCTGAAACACATTCTTCAACAAGACCATTTGTCTGTAAGGTTTGTGGCCATCGTTTTGTACGAAATGCTCATTTGAAGCAACACATGAGGATCCACAGTGAGGAGAAACCTTATGTTTGTGACATTTGCGGTCAATCATTCCGTGTTTTATACAGTCTAAAGTATCATGTCAGTAAACACACTGGTGTCAAGCAGCATTACTGTAATTATTGTGGCAAAGGATTCATGCAGCCAAGTGACCTTAAACGCCATAGCCGCATGCATTCTGGGGAAAGACCATACAAATGTGACAAATGTGGAAAACTTTTTGCAAGTGCTTCAAATTACAAAAGACACCAATTCACCCATGATCGACAAAAACCTTACTGCTGTGACTTGTGTGATAAATCCTTTACAAGAGCACAAGATCTTGAAGGTCACCGTAGGATTCATACGAATGAGCGGCCATTTGTCTGTGAACTGTGTAACAAAGCCTTCACTAGACAGCAGCATTTAAAGAAACATCTACAAACACATACAGAACAGAAGCCATTTATATGTGATGTTTGTGGTAAAAGGGTATCAACTTCATGGTCTTTGCGTAGTCATATGAGAACTCATACTGGAAAAAAGATGTTTTCTTGCACTAAGTGTGATAAAGAGTTTTCTGAGATTCGATACCTTAAATATCATATTCGTGTTCACGAGAATGATAGACCATTCAAATGCAAGTTGTGTCCAAAAGCTTTCACTCGCTCTTCACATTTGAAATCCCATGAATTCTCACATTCAAAAGAAAAACAGTTCAAATGTGACGCTTGCGGTAAGGGGTTTACATTGTCATCAAACTTGAAGACACATTTACGTATACACGAGGGCCTAAAGCCCTATGCTTGTGAAGTATGTGGAAAAGCTTTTTCAAGCTCAAGTAACCGTTACACTCACCAAAAGATTCATGAGCAACATGAAACTGGTGTGAAAGAGTTTGTGTGTGATGCATGTGGCAGACAGTTCAGCAGTGCAAGTAACAGAGGAACTCATAGAAAATCACACTGCCCTGTCCTCAAGGCAAAGATAAAGGTTGAAAGTGTTGAATAGTTGGCAAATTTGAATTTTAGTATCATTTATGTTTAGATTTTGAGTATCCTATCTCTTGATTTTCTGTATCTGGTTAGCAAGGTAATGATCAAGCATTTTTGTTAAATCAATTTCATTATGCTTAATCCTACAACCTTGTAGTTTTAATATTCAAGTAAAGCTTTTCAGGAATTGTTTCCCATGAACTTTGGATTTGTGTTTTGTATTACAGAATTTTTTGTGACAAATTATGGCAAATTTTTGTATTAATGATGTATTTGCTAATTTATGTGAATTTTTATTTTAGTTTTGTGCCCTCTACTGGATTTCATAATTGCGTGATAGGTATTTGTTCTCCAATAAAATTTATTTATGCTAAGGGCCTGTTTATATGGAAGAGGGCTAGCCCTCCTAGAGGGCTGGCCCTCTTTACTGAAGTCTCACCTCCTGGTATAATCCCTTATGAAAATTGTTTTGGTTTATATAAGGGGAGGGCTGGCCCTCCTAGCCAAGATCTTGGTGTTGAGTACCCGAGATCTCACCCAGGAGGGCTGGAAATTTCCCATATAAACACAATTAGGAGGGCTGGCCCTCCTAGGCGAGATGCAAAGTAACAAGTGCGCATGCATAACTGAGTCCTTTGCATCTAAAAATGGCTATCATTTGAGATAACATCAACAGAAAACATTTTCGGTCAGCCATGTTGATGAAAGAGCAACAAAAAAGCGTGAAATTGCAACTCTTTGACAAACACTACACAGGGGCTTAATTTCAGCCCTCCTTGGAGGGCCAGAAAATCTCATGTAAACGCATGGTGAAATTCAGCCCTTAGAGGGTTACCCCTCTCTTCATATAAACGGGCCCTAAGTAGAAGTGCCAGATTTGGCTACAAGCCAAGGCAAGATTGGGCTCAAGATAACAGATGTTTTGACAAAACGTTGTTGTGCACAATTTGGTGTTGACACAACCAGGTTATGTCCTTGTTTATAGTGCAATGTAATTTCTAAAGAAATGTTCCTCAGAACTATAAAATAGCAAGCCAAAAAGTTTTAAACTTGTCATAGAAGTGCCACATGAACAAATATTATTTAGCTTTTTATCTAATTTAGCCACATTATACCTTTTAATTTATTTGATTATAAGCTACCCTCAGTTAAAAGCCACAGCAAGTTTGTTTTATAAAAATGTAAATTGCCCCTGATTATAAACTGCACCCAAAAACAATACAGTAATACTTTGTTTGATATGATGGACACAAAAACTAATAAAAACGAAATACTTAAATACAAAATAGATATGATAAGTTTAACCAACTACAATATTGTCTAACATGGGGTCATCAATTTTGTCCAAAGTATTTTTTCCTAATCTTCTCAATTATATCTGTCAGCTTCAAGGTAGCAGAAAAGCTTGGCAGGATCTTGATAAAACAATGCAAGCCACCCCCATTTATGATGCTCTTGATTTTAAACTACAGGAAATCAGTCAACAAATATTTAAAAGCTGTAGCTTATTATCAAATAATTATGGTACATGAAACCTCCACAGATACAGTCATAATGGCTTTTTTACACAATTTGTTTTTTTCTTCTTCTTTAATTTTCTTTGATATTCTTAAGATTGTTTGACATTTACATTAAGAAAATGTTTAATAGATGCTGGATGATGTTTCAGCTGGACTTGTAAGCATATATTTATCATTTTAATGCACTGTAGCATTATATAAGTATTGTGTTATGCATGTTGTCAGTAAAATAAACCAACTGTGGTTTTTGTTTCCTTTCCTTTTGTTTAAAAACTAGCTGGTCCCTGAGACCAAAGTGGCTAATGGTAGATATAAATGGAATAGAACTTAGAATAATGGGTTTTAACTTAGAATAAAATAGATATGTTCAAAGATTTTGGTGGTTTTAATATGAACAAAGTAAGTTGACATTTTTTCAAAGGCCTCAAATGGTAGGTAGATAATATCCAAATCAAATGTGATTTACAGGAAAGTCAACAAAGTTGAAAGTCTTATCATCAAACAAATTTTTCTCTAATTTTAGATGATGCTTCCCTATCCTCATATAAATAAATATTTCTTGCAAGGCAGAAGTTTATATCAAAGATGTACTGATTCGTTCTTGCCATAGAAAGGTCCTCTATAAATTTGTGCCAGATTTTTGGGTATCTTCAATCATATTGTTAATCCCTTGAAATTTCAGCACATTGCTTATTTGATTTTTTTCATTTTCAACTGTAAGTTGCCAGGTAACAGTGGACTAAAATTCATACACTGCCTTATTTTCTCAAGATGTGAATTCCATTGGAAATTGGAACTTGCTAATAAAACTTGTGTGTTCAAATCATTTTTTCCTTTTATTTTACCATATGACTAAATTAAAGGTAAAAACAAGATACATGTGATTAGAAATTTTTAAAAAAATATTTAATCTTTTAAGGACTTCAACAAAAAGCAAATATGTGACACTGTCCTGCCTAAAGTAATTTTGGTTTAATAAGTTCTGACCAATAAACCTCAAGGACATCCTCAACATCTTCTTCATCTGAATCCAGTTTGAACTTTCCTACCCAGCATCCATCTCCAATTTTTCTTTGACGTGAGTGCTCAGATAATAAGAGTGATAACTTACCATTCTGGTCTAAACTTTGTACAAGGGCTTCCTTATAATCAGAAATTTCTGGGGTATAAGAAAGTGACATCTCAAGGATCTTGAAAGCTATGTTATCACCAGCCCTGGGTGGGCCTTGCAGCTCGGGATAACTTTCATAATTCCTTACAGCCTTTGGTTGCTCTACAGTTTCCTCTAAAGATTCTTGCACATGTGTAGATACATCAACATCTTCATCATTTAGTTCATCATTTGGCCCTGCCATTACTTCATTTTCTTTTGATCTGTCACCAACAACACTGTGACTTTCAGCACTTTGTTTAATTTTGCCTTCTGATTTATTAAAAGTCTTTGTTTTAGGGTAGCTTGTTTGCAAAGGCAAACAAATGTCAGCATGATCTAATTGTTTAATTGGACTTATTTTATTGAGATTTTTATTTTGAGCATTTTTGAAATTTGCTTCTTCTTCATCATCAGAATGGAAAAATATATGACTGTGTGAAGGATCTAAGGGAGTACTTTTGAGATTTTGCGAAGAGACTATTTCTTTCTGTGTAATTTCAAAAGACAAACTTCTGTTAGATGGTGTTTCAGGTAAAGGTTGTGCTTTGATACTAATTGATTCCTTTTCCAAGGCTAATTTATCAGCCCATCCATTTAGATTAGGTAAGCTATTTAAAGATTTAGAAGTTTCTTTCTCTTTTTTATTTTTGCTCTTTTTTGTCTTTCTTTTAGATGATTGATCTTTCACAATTGTCTTTCTCTCAAATGAGCATAGAGATTCAATTCCAACTTTTCCTTCATTTTCATTAGTGGTTTTATTGGTACAAGTATTGAGAACTACAGACTGGTTCTTTTCATTTCCAGAGACCACAAGCTTGGATCTTTTTCTATCTTCTTTAAATATATATGCTTCTTTATGTTCCGTTTCTTCAGTTTTGTGGTTGGATTTGATTTCAAAAGTTGACTGCTGCTTTCCATTGTCTAAGTTTTGCTTATGAGACTTCTTTGATTTCTTTCTCTTTTTTGGCTTTACATCATATTGCTCACTGCTTGCAAGCTTTTCATCATCTAGTAAACTAGTTTCTGTTAAGGCTCTTTTTCTTTTGATCTTCTTCTTCCCTCTGCGTGCTTCCTTTGGAGAAATACCTACCTCTTTATTTAGTAATATATCATTGGCTCGACTGTCATTTTTCTCCTGAGAGAGTCTTTTTTCCTGATAACAATCGTTTTCATGGGGATCTTCTTCAATTAGTAATTCGTCATCATCTCGAATAATATCAATGTTCTCCCATTGTGGAAGCAGATAGCCTTTTAAACTGCACCTCAGTGGCACGGTGCCAATCCGGTAAGATTGCTGAATGTCACGTAACAAATCCTGAACTGTTTTGCAACTGCTTCTGTTTATCAGAAACCAGCTATTCCCTCCGCGGCCAGGGGCAAAATTGTGAAAATGTAAACGCACACGAGGGCTTTCCATGTTTCCGTGTGAAGTGAAGCCTCATGTTGGGTAGGTGGGTATCTTATTTCTGCCTCAGTTTCAGGAGAACGAAAAATTGGCGCCAATTTACAAACAAAAATGGCGTCCACAAGTTGGCAACTCCAGCTTCACCGTTCCGGTAACAACACCAAGAAATTCAGGAAAACAGACGGTAAATGGCAGAAAAGGAAAGAAAAAAGACCACCCTGGGATGTGCGTTAATGATAAGTAACTTGATTGAATCAGAATTAATTGTGATAACTCGTTTTACGACAAACTTTTTTTTACACGATTATTGGTTTTCTCCCCCTAAAACCAAATTATTCACGGAATCGGATTAAACTATACACCATTTACTAAGCTACCAGTCTAAGCTACCAAAGTATGTCTAAATTTTTGGAATTCCTCTTCACCTCCTATCGGAACTATACTCTGTCAAAAATTGGTAAACAATTTTTCTACCCTCCTCATGCACAGCTGTGTTTGGCACTCTTTGCACTACATTTTACTGATCACACAAAGGTACAATCATAAACCACATTATAATCTGGGTCAAATCATTTGAAGCTTAAAGATAAATGAATAAGCCTGTTTGAATAAATACAGTCCACCCTGTGATTCATGGATGTGCCATGTGATTGTAGCTAAGAATGGTAAATTAAACATAAAACCCAGTGGCAGCGCCAGCCGTCAAAAGTGGGGGGACCAGGGGGGTGCATGACCACCCCCCTTTTTTGGCAGATGGCAATTTTTTTACCATGCCCCTTTTGTTGAAAAGAAACGCTCTTTTCAATGATTGGAAACACCTTTTTACCTATAGGAAATGTCTATGTTTGCACAATTTAGGCTTTTCAATTGTTTGTCTCCATTAAAGACAAGTATGGCAACAGAATCTGTACTTTTCATTCACATAGTTGGGTCATTACGCCAGTTCTAGAGCTGGATTTTGACAAGAAACAAGGTATTATAAAGATACAAAAAGCTCATGATTGCAAAAATATTGATTGAGAAAGAAAACAGTTTGTTCAGATTTTGTATCCTATTTGAAAAATTTTATTTCAGCAGTTAAATTTTGCTAATGGCAACATGTCCAGATATATACCATGGTGACAGTTAATTTGAGTCAAGTCTCAATAACCACTGGAAGGCTTTTTTGACACTTGTACATACAAACTTGGTACCAGATGCAAGATTTCAAAAGGTTAATTAGTTATAGCAATGGTTAGCTAGCTCAAAAATGTCTACTAATTTGCTTAGTATGAAAGTATGAAAGCATCGCAATCAATGCCTTTTTGAGAGGTTGTACAGAACCTTAAGGCAAATTATGAGTACCTAATAAACTACTCAGCAAATTCTTAGTTTCTTTATGAGAATTACAGGTAGAAACTGAGAAGCAGATGACTAAAGAAGGACAACATGATGGAAGTAATTTATCTTATCAAGAGAGCCAAAACATCTACAAACAAAGCAAAATGCAGCGTCTTTTAAAATTGAATATTCAAGCCAATTGAATTCTTTGTACCACTTTTTTAACCAACTTAAGCCAACTTTTGTATCAACTTAAACTTTCTCCCTGCTTGTTCTAACTGTGGAAAATCTATTAAAGGTCTTATTAGACTGGTTTCAAAGACAAAAGCTCTGTTTGCTTCATTCACAATTTCACAGGATAGATCTCTGCCTTCAAACATTGTAAACTCAAAGATATCAGGATTCTTTGCCCGGCTAGTTGTTGGTCATTTGATGGCAAACTAGCAGGAGTTGTGATACAAGTGGACACCAAACGTCATGAATCATAGACGTTTCAGGATAGACAGAATGTAATAAAGCAAACCAACACTTTCAAGAAAATGCCATTAGAATACCAGCCGGTATTACTTCTAGACATAGTTTGTGATTGAGATCCATTATAAGTTATGGCAAAAGTATAAGTTTGTATTTCAAAGGAATCAGCAATCATCAATTCAGTTACAAAACCGATGATCTATTGACACATCATTCTGTTTCAGTATGAGGACATTCAACAAAAGATAGCTTAGAAGAAATATCAGCGTTTTTTGACAATTTCTTCATCAAGTAATTTTCTATAACCTAAAGTTGTAGTTTCTAAAGTTTTGGGGAAAATGAAAGTACCTCACAAAGATCTCACTTCACCTTCCCCCTGACACTTTCTCCTCAAATTTAGATGAATTACAAAGTTGACCCTGGCAAGAACGTTCAGTACCTAGTCCCCCCATGGCGCTGCTACTGATAAGACCACATCCACAAAGCAACAATAATCAGCTTAATAGGTCAAGAGTTTTCAGACTTCAACTAAAAACTTTCATAAAGAAATTATGGATACTGTATTTTACATGGGATTTCTTCCATTTTCAAAATTTTTGTTGGTTTCAAACATGGTATCACTGTGTTCCTTAAAAATACAGCTACTAGAATGTGAAGATAAAAAAATTGATGTTTCATCCTGAAGACATAAGGTAGGCTTGAATAACCCCAAACACAATGCCATAGATCAGGTCCAGATTTTATTCTTGTTACTTCAGATCAACAGTATGTCGTTGTCCCCCAACAAATTTTGAGTACTACGATTTTATCAGAGGCAGACACTTGATCAAATATTGGCGGGCAAGCCTATTGTTTTAATAAGATGATGTCACATTTCCCATTGTTTAGAACAAAAGACCATTGTCCTCTAAAGTATTTTGGGGGCTCGCACCCCCCTCTCACCCCGCAAAAATCAGCCACTGGTTTTTATACTGTATTGTAGCCTGCATGTAGGATTGTTCATCAGATTAAACAGAGGTAAATCATAACCAGCCTGCACCGTGTTGGAAAGCAGGCTAATGTGCCAGTCTGGAGAGCCTGCATATGCTCGCAAATAAGCTGGATTTCTTGCACATTCACCCAAAGTTGCTATAATATACTATTGCCATGTTTATATAAGCATTGTTGCTCACAGTTCAAATGCCTTCCCAAACCCCCCCCTCCCAGATTGCAGCCAATAGTATGTTGTTGTTTGCATTACAGCCTGGGCATAAATTGCCTTCTCTTTTTATTTATACACTGTTCATAGCTGTCTTATTTGAAAATAAGCCAATTTATCTTCAAATTATATAGAAAAGGTTGAAGGCTGCATGTTTTTGTTTTTCTAAACTTCAGAGTTCAAGTTCTGATTTATCAGTGCTGAAGCCTACACGTGAAGAGTTGGTATGTTTTTATTCAAAAACCTCAAAACCCATAATTTTTTTGCAATATGTATTCTTGTTTGTTGGCCAAATAGGACTTAATTCTTTTTCAACAGGACCCTTTTTGTACCCTGAACATAAGAAGAACTTTCATTTTATAAATAGTGAAACTTTGTTTTTAAAAACAGTCACAAGATGAATGGAAATGGAAATATCTTGTAATCAATACGCTAAAATAAATGTTTAAATCAATTTAAAGAAGGTATAAATTTAAACTTTTGATCTAAAAGCAACGTTGTCAGTTTTTAAATAAATTTTCTACTATTAAAGTACATTCAAAGGATTTTAAGATTTGAAATATTCGTTAGTTTACATTAGTTTTCATCCTCATTTTCATTGTTATTTCTAGAACAGGAGACATGAGCTGCATAAACCAAAGCCATTATCTGAAAGACAATATATACAACAATATCAAGATCTTATGTTACTAAAGAACAAAGGTCAGCTAGAATGTCACATCTTTGTAATTTAATGAAAAGCTTTCTTAATGAGATTTATAACTGTTCTGTTTATGGTGTTTATGTAGCAAAGCATTGGACTGAAATCTAAGCAAACTAACTTAATGCTTTCTATTTTTGTTGCTCTGTTCTTCTGCTTATTATCAACACAAATTTTCAAACTTGAACTTGTCTCTAAGCACTGTTTTCCCTCTCTTTGCATTTGACTGTTGCCACTAACATCTGACCTAGTTGAAAAGTTCAACAGAGAAAATGAGCTTTTTGTCAACACAGTTTGAGACACTCTGTTTTGATGTAGAATTTTGGTGCACTGTGGATAGTTGTTTATTTATAAACTACATTTACAGTTAAGTTTATATATATGTGCAGGACTTTCAATGGGCCGAGCGTGCAGGCACGCGCCCAAGGTTATCTTTCAGAGCGATTAGTCGCGCGTCCAGTGATAAATATTTCCCGTGAAGAGCGCGATTGCCGGATGCTGATAGGTCAAACCACTTGAGAAACTTTTTTTAGAAAAGGAAGTTTGACATCGAATCCTTGTTTCCACTAATCTGTTTTGGTATGTTTTTCAATCATTCAGTTTCCGTTATTCTTCAGACATTCCCATTGCTTCGGCCCACACCGTTTTGGCCAAAACGAAAACGAAGGTTTTCCCATTACTCTGTTTTGTCCGTTTTTATATCCTTTGTTTAAGCTCATCTTGAAACTGAAGATGAACGAATTCTTTTTTAATTGACTCCGTTTTCGATTTTCTCATTAAAACAATTCGTTTTTAAATGACTCAATCACGTTTAATGTTTCAATAGAAAATCTTTTTTGTTCAGTGTTAACAAATAAATTTGATTCGCGCGCCTCACTCTTATCACGCGAGTTTTTTACCGCACGCGTTGATTTTTGAACGTGAAAGCCCTGCATTATGTATATATGTAAAGTATACAAGGATCATGTCCATGATTTTGAAAATCAATGAATTATTTGTTTATTTTGTAGAAAATATTTTCCCCAGAAAAACAATGTATCAAGAGAATGTGGAACAGAAGAAGGCACTTATCAAAGAAATCTTTCATCATCAGGAAATGGTATTTGTTTCATATTTTGGTTTGCCAAGTGTGTATGCATGAAGTTTTTGGATATAATTATACTTTTAATAACCCTCTTGCAAAGAGGCTACAAAGTGACAGAATACTTTGCTCACATACTAATCTCTAGCTAGTGGATACCAGAAAGAATTCATGTGAATGGCTTGATCTTGACCAAGAAAATCAAACAGAACTGATTCCATATAGTTTGCATGGTGATTTTCTATTAAGATTATACAAATCATTCACATGTATTGTATTTTGGAATAGTTTAAGCTATTTGAAAAATCATAATAAGAATGTAAGTGACAATCTTATATTTAGCATAAATTTCTTACAAAGTTTTGGTAGATCTCATTAAAAAAGCATAAAAGTTATGATAGCCCTAAGTGATAAAGTTGCAGGATATGCACTTTTAATCTGTTATGAAGACTTGGAACATTATATTGTTAAACTTGATAATGAATTCACTCTGATTTAGCCTCTTCTGGCAGGGTGAAATTATAATTTAACTCTACTTTCCATTTTTATTTTGAAATAATATTTCATTTATCTAAGGTCTTGTGCATTAGTTCATCTTTGTTAAAGCTAGAATAATAGAGACTTGTCCAATGCCTGTTTGGAAACTTTGCGTACAGTCAAACATACAATGTGTCAATCTGTTTGGTTTCTTTCTTTCTTTGTTTTTATTCTTTATGGAAACTCTGTCTGTCATATTTGTATGGGAGACATCCACTCTGATTTTTATTTGGTCCAGATAGCAATTTCTTGGTTAAGGTATTTTTTCATATTTCAAGTTTATACTTCACAAATTCTTGATTTAATTAATTTTCCCGATTTGATTTCCAATTTCCCAGGAACTTAGCAATGTCCTTGCAGAAACTGACAAAGCCATGGCTAATGTGAAAGATCTTTTTGGGGATTATCCAATGGTAATATCATTTTATTGTAATGACATTCACTAGCGCTGCTCTGTATTTCTTACATCTTTTTGGCTTTTTGTAAAGAACGATTCACACCTAATCAATAACAGTTATAATTTTATGTTGATTTATTGCTGAGTCAGTAATAAATTGAAGTTTTGTGCTACTTTAACATGGTTCAATCGCATCTCTTGAGACTTTATGTAACCAGAAAAAATTATCGTAGAACCTGGAAATGTATTTTGTTATTTTGAAAGCTATCAAAGTTGGAACTTAGTAAAAAGTCACATATGACAGATCAAGTAGTTCAACAGCTATGGATTTCTTAAAATGGATTCTTTGGCCTTCTTTCTTCAAACATTCAAAATGTTGTAATGATGCAAAAATTACATTTTCTTCTTTTTAAATCGCTGTTAAAATTTCCTTCTGTTTATTCTGTTATTAGAAATTCAGAGGTGTGCCACATATAACGGATGCCCCAGACGGCCAATCAAATATGAACAGGTAAAATAGTTTACAATTCTGACCAACTATGATTGTAATCATTTCGAGAAAGAAACTTTTGTATCTCGACTTGTTTTACGCCAGGCGTTTTATACCCTAGATCTTTGCTGGCAGTTGATATGGAAACGCCATCACGATTGACTGCACTTAGCGAATCCGTCATGCGACATCCAGCCCTTAATGATGTCACTGATGACGTAAGCAGTGGAACTGATCAAGGTAAGACCATTTCGTAGTCTCCTATCCGTATATAGCATAGTAAAATTTGATCGAGCATCAATATGTATTCTTTTACGGGCCCCTTTTTATTCCTAAGCATATTGAATCCTTTTTCTAAATGCTAAATGATATGGCAAGTTTAAACTAAAGGGCCATGTCAATGAAGAATAAAAAATTCCCGTATGATCCGATCTTTCGAAAACGGAGGCGCTCCAAATATTCGTTTCAATAGAAAGAAAAAGATAGAAGGGAAACTTTTGAGACCAGAGATAACTTTAGCTAAAGCTTTTATAAATTTAAAACGTTGTCTCTGAACAATCGCCCTTTCTTCATAACTCATGTTGGCAAGGCTTGTTCTAAAAGGTATGATTGACGGAAAAAGAGACAGGGGAAGACAAAGAAGAACATGGGAAGACGATGTTAAGGAAAAGAGCGGGTGTGAGAGCATTGGGAGAGCTAAACGATATTCTGAGGATAGGGATAGTTGAAGGGTCATTGTAGCCAACGTTCTGATAGAAGATGGTAGAAGTTGGTATTTTAAATAAAAAAGATAGAATAAGAAATTATGCAACAAGCTAAAACTGTGTTCATAATTTTTCGTGAAAATCCTTTCAAGCCTGTTTTAACTTGTATTTAGAGCAAAAATGTTAACCAAATGTATTTCAAATCCAACTTTCAGAGAGTGATGTTGATGAGAATAATTCGGCTCGAACTGGCATCATCAGTGATCGAAGTGCCACTCGATTTCAATCCGACTTCAACTTCGACTACTACAAAGAGCTTTTGCAAAGAGAGCAATTCAAGAAAGAGAGCGATGAAATTGAAAATTCAAGGTTTGCCCTTTCAACTTTAGCTCAAGTTGAAAACCGAGATCTCAGCTCAAACCGGAGCCTTGATTTTGGCAAAGAAGTTTTGATGCCTTCAAAAGTTGTTTCGGCCGCGGAAACCCATGGTAATGCAAATTGGCAAGCAGGCTACTCATCCTCTGTTTTAGCTGGTGCACCGGGAACGGAAAATCAACCATGTATGTATAGGTGTGCAAATTTTAGTTCCCCTAAGACAATGTAAGAAGTTGGTTTTTAAATTTCAATGTGAAAAACGGTACAAAAACGACCACACCCCAGTTGAATGCTATGGCTTTTTTTATTTTTGGGGGCTACTATAAAGTATGTCGAAACAATTTCTACAATTTACTTTGGTTTATGAATATGCTGACTAAAATCTGCTTTAGTAAGTCGCCCTTTTACCAAGTGTTTAGACTTCCACAAGAAAGAGACGTTGCATTCAAGGATCTTTTTCTTCTAGACCAATGCAAAGTTGATCCATCCGGCAACATGGATAAAATAACAGAAATGAGACAGGTCTGCTATCTAGTTTCGTACCCCCTAACCATTTTTGCCTAATTACCCCTCCCTCCATAGTTGTCGTCTTTTACACGAAAGAAGTGAATCCAGATTGAGTTTCATTTTGTGAAGTGAAGCGCATTTGCTTTTAGTACAGTCATATATATGACGCTTATGTTGCTTTATTTCGGGCGATTTCTAACATATTTGACTGACTAACTGCTTGTTAAGACAAACGTCATAATGCTTTTTCAGTTTATACAGCCCAAAGTCAATAGCTCTTAAAAACGTTTGTGACACAATCACTTTTGGAACCGCATTGTGCTGGCAAAAATGCACTCCTGATATGAACGCTCTTAGTGAAATTTTACGAAGCCGTTCGTCCCAGAAATTTAGAAACATTTTTGGTAGCTTTAACGAATTGTTAAAACGGCAACAAGGGATAGGTATGCTGCCGACATAGTTGTTTCCAGGAAATGTAGTAGATCCTGAAGTGTTATTTTTTTGTTTATGAATATCGATTTATGCTATTTTTCTATGCTTGTATATGTCAATTTAATTAAGATACCCTTTATATACCAGGTTCTTGATGCTATCGAAAGTGAGCTGCAAGGGTTTGAAGCAGCTTCTGACAAGACAAGGAAGCCAACAAGGGTAATCAGTCATCCTAGGATTGGTATTTCATACCTTCATTGCCTTTTCATACCTTCATTATAGATTCAGTTTCAGGAAACATGGACTCTTTGTTTACAAATTTATCTTTTTTTGCAGATGTTTTATAGATGTTTTTATAGTTTCATAGTTTTATAGTTTATAGATTTTTCATTTGTTTTTGTCTTTGTCTTTTTGTGATTATTTCTTGATAATGTTTTGATAATGTGACCCGAATTTTTGCCTCTGTATTTTGAGTGCCTTTAATTTACTTTGAAAAGTTCTCTAAGCGGGATATTTTTCCAGTTTTTTCCATTCCTCATCGCTCTAACCACAAAGGAACACTTCTACTTCCCCCAACATTCCCCCCTCCCCGTTGACATGTAGTGGGTTTTTGTTTGCCCAGCGGGAGACGGTAACTGAGAGAAAGATTCTATTCCATTGTACAGTTTTGACTCATGAGCATTTCAAATTTTACCAAATGATTAGCCATTAACGAATAAAGACTGATGAATGAGTACATTTCTAGAAATCATACGTTATATACAAGTTACATTAGACAGATTGTGATTGATATGTGGTTGGCAGTTCAAATAGAAACGAGGTTAACGGAGACTAATCCTGGAACAGAGGAAGACCTACGATACAAAAAAACTCAAAAAAATAAGTCGTTTGAACCTACGATACAGAGGTAGACCTACGATATCAAAGAACCCGAACAAATAAATTGTTTGAAGTTTTGAATAACATTTGCCTTGCCATTCGTAATGCTTGTATCCCATAAAAACCAGTCCTATATGAATATCTTAGGCTGGACAGCATCCCCGATTGTTATTACGCCATATTTTCTTAACGTATTAGCTTAAAGCTTTATTCATTATCTCAACTGAATCAACTAATTTTAGGAGGAAAAATATTACGAGTCGGCAAGAGCACCGTCACTGTCCAAGGTTCTCAATGCTGTTGTCAAATACGTTAAGGAGGTGAGTCCACCATTACTAATGTGTGCCTTTCTGAGAAAATGATGCATGCAGCAAGACAGGAGGTTGTGGACCAGTTTATGTATTTCAAAGGAACGTGCCGAAAAATGTAAAGTAAAAACATTGAACCAATCAAATGTGCCATTCTTCCTTTCACGTCATTTTCGATGTGTAGCTGGATACAGCTTTATATAAATTTCTGCTCATGTTATCATCACTTCAGATGTTTTATGCTCTTGTGGAGTGTATGACGAAATTGTTTTCTATTTTTTGCTTCTTGTAAGTCTAAAAAACATCTCTTCCTCATTTTAATTATGATGATTGAAGCAATGTTCAAAGCTTCCGTTTATCGGTTATGCTTCTTCAGAACAGATCGCTGTCTTCAAAAGTTCTTTTATTGAGTGGTCTTCCATAGACATGTTTTGAATGAGCTTCACTTCCTCCTACATCTAACCATATGATTAATTTAGCTAAATGGCTTTGCAATTCCAAATGCAACGTAGAAATTAATTGGAAAAGAGGCTTGTTTGAATCCAAGGCACATATAAATGGCCCAGGCGGGGCGGGGGTTGTGGTCA